TAATTAGCTTTTAAAAGGACTTCAGTTATCTTGAAAGCATACACTCCGCTGTCAAAACTTTCATTCCCAATACACATTGTAGTCTCTCTTCAACATTCATTTCTGTTGACTTAAAACCAAACTAAATAACCATCATTATGCTTACAGTATTTTCATTTCTTGATAGCCGTGCCACTAGTTGAAGACATACTTTCTTTATCTACACTATTACATTTATTACTGTTACAAAATCATTCCATCATCAAAGATACAACAGCAAAAAATCATAAAACTATTTATCAAAGACAACAAACAAGAAGTTATATAACACTAACTCTACTACATAAACTAATTTTTATCACCGTTTATTTATATGAAGCACTGAAATTAATTTTACTTGACTGAGATTATAAACTGACCAACAGAATCTAGCCGGCAACAGTCCAGTGGCGTAGCGAGGGGGGCAAGGGGGTGTATGATGCCCCGGGTGCTACTCGCAGAGGGGCGCCAAATGGTCTCCAAAGAAGATTTTCATCATATCACTGTGTTTTTCCGGGGGAGGGGGGCACCAAAAAGTTATTTTGCCCCGGGCAACAGTTATGCTCGCTTCTCCACTGCAGCACTTGCTTATATGCTTAGCGAAAGATCTTCTAGAACAGTTCAGATCAGTTGTAAAGGTTCTATGCACCTCCACGTGTTTATTCTAATGGTCAAGCTAAGTTGAGAACACTGGATATGGTAGAAAGTTTATGTATCTGCCGTAGAATATAGTTCTACCCCTTTGAGATGTCATATTGTAAAAATTACACTATGAAATATAAATATTGTTGAGCAAAGAGAATGGAATGAAAAATGGATAGATTACGTTGCATCCAGCTTTGTATTTAAAAATTTGATTACATCATGTAATTCATTTGATGACCAATAGGAAGGCATACCCTTTTTTGGCATTATTGTGGAAACTGCAAATTCCAGCAATCCAACCTGACCACGCTCTTGATGTGAAAAGCAATTAAAGCATTCACTCATTTACTGAGTGGCAGCAGAAGAAAGAAATTCTTATGTTCTCTGCTTCATCTTTAACATATGTGTGTAATTTCAAAAACCTTATAAGGCTGGAAAACCACTATGCAGTTCTGCTAAAATTAACGTTATGAATGCTTTTGTCAAATAATGGCAGCATATTTCTAATAAATACGACAATGAATTTTTACTTTTTCTGCTCATATGACTGTTGTTTCTGGTACAAGCATAAATCGCATAAAATGAATTTGGAATGAACCTAAATTTGGAAATATAAAAGGAAGAATCAAAACAAGTGTAATAAAAAATCAGATATTAATAAATATATATCAAATTCAATTATGATTGAGGAGTTAAATTTTTTAGAGCTAATTTTTTAAAAACTACTTGTGCAATTTTTACAAAACTTGGCAGTTTGGCATAATTTGAGTCATGAATCGAAATGGAGAAAAAAATTGGCATGTCATTTCAGAAAAAGTCTGATTTTGTGTCAAAATACCTATAAGAAAAACGCTATATATAAATCTAATATATATTTTAAGTCACACTTTTAAAACATGAAAAATGCAATTTGAATTTCATCAATCGGCCCAGTAGAATAGGGGATATAGAACTGTCCCCCCTTTTTTTTGCACAATGTACCTTCTCACTTTTGTTTGTGTGAAGGTAAATGTCTCTTGGTTCAATTAATTATGAAACTTTTACAATATTTTATGACGTCCCTATGAAGAGACCATGGTTCCTTGGGGAACATGGGAACCACTACTGTAGACAGATATATGTGCTTTTTTATACTTATTCATCATTTATTCATTTCAACTGTGTAAAAATTTTTCTTAAATATACATTTTCTTAGATCTTCGTTACATGTGCATTTCTTAGGTTAGTAGCTTCAATAAAGAGTAAATAAAATAGAATGACAAACCCTTTTTATTTTTATTTTTTTATTTATTTATTTATTTTTTTTTTTTTTCCAACAAACTGACTTATTGACTTACTTTGAAAATGAGAACACTGTTATAAGAGATAAGAACAACATATTTCATGTGATAACAGTAGTCAATAGGCAGCCTTGGAGTATATATCTTTTTGTAGAAAATTATTTAGCACATGTTGGCATGCTATTAAAAGATCGTTTTTTGACTAATGAGCATTTCACAGTTGACTAAATCTTTAAAAAAATTAGAGATAATGAAAGGGTTTGCAGCTATACCAGTAGATATATATAGTACATATATAGGATATTAACTTTGATTTGCAATAGTCTCTTTTCTAATTTAACTGTTTTCCCTTTTTATCCAAAAAATAGAAGCTGCTTATAATAAAGCTCTCTAAACTGTGTCATTTTAAAATTAAGACATTTAAAAAATTAAGACATTTCAATCAATCTGATATGTGTGTGTAATATATGTAATATATTCTTACTTAATGCTGATGATGCAGATATTTATATAATATTTCAGCCAATAATAATTTTAAATTTTGAAACCAAAACTTAAAATTAGCTTATGGCGGAAAGATCTGAACTGAACTTTCATCTTGTTCATACTTGTACATACATCATACTTGCTCTCTGCTTTCTTGACCAACTAGGGTGCTGTCAGTGCTTTTAACATCATAAAAAATCAACTATCATCATTAACAATTATGCTATTAACAATAAATTATTTCTTATATATGTATATACACTGAAAAGTCAAAATATTATGGCCACCTACATGGTAATGCATTGTGCAATGTTTGGCGTGCAAAACAGGTAGAACTCGCCTTGCCATGGAGGCTACAAGTTCTAGACTGGAGACAAGTTGTACCAAATGTGTAAGCAGCAGTCATGTAAAGTCAAAATATTCCGAAATGGTGGTGTGTTGTTTGAGCTCTGAGCTGCTGCTTTATGACAGGCCAAATGTGCTGCTGGACGATTTCATTTTCAGTTGGGAAGGCAAACAACGTATAAAGGTACACCTAATCCGCAATTATATTCAGATAGTCTGCAGCTTTCGTGGCCTTTTCTACCAAAACTAAGGATCCCAAACCCGCCCACGAGAACATCCTCTAAAGCATAATACCACGACCACCAGCCTTTGTATGATCTGCTGTTCGAGCAACTGCTCTTCTGGAATGTGGCGTAGCTTAAGATAACCATCAATGTGATGAATGAGAAATCAGGATTCATCTGACCAGGCAACTGTCTTCCACTTATTCATGATCCTGTCTTAATGTTTCCGAGCCCACTGTAGGTGTAGTTGACAATGACACTTGGCCAACAGAGGTACATGAGTGGGATACTTGCTGTGCAGCCCTATATCCAACAGTGTCCACTGAACTGTATGTTATGAAATACTTCCAATTGGGCCTGCATTTTATTGAGCTGTCAGCTGAACCACTGTCTGCCGCCAATTTTGCTGTACCAAGCGGGACAGTCTCCGACATCCTTTTTCTTTGACGGCGCATGGACTTACAAGACCTTGGCATCTACTACTAGTTTCACCACCATTTATCCACTTTCTGCATAAATACTAACAATGGCAGATCGTGAACAACCTACCAGTCTGGCAGTTTCAAAGATACTCATTCTGAATCTTTGGGCCTTTACAATCTAGCCTCCATCAAATTCGCTTCGATCAGCAGCCTTTTCCATCACTCCTAAAAGTAAGTGTAAGAGTGATTCTGTACCTTCTTTAGCAGCAGTTAAATACAGTCAAAAGTCTTTTATCCGGACTCGTTGGGACTTCGTCGATTCCAGATTATAGATCATCAATTTAAATCTGGTAAGATGGCATGCAGAAATTATAAAATTAAAAATATGAAACAATAATTTATGAAATAAAGAGCAATTATGATCTAAAGGGTATCAAAATTTACCAAAAAAAGCTTAATATTTATTTGTTTACTTTATTAAACATTTCTTTCAACGCACGCATGCGTAAAGCATACATTGCGCATAGTCGAAATTAGAAAACTGCAACCAGAAAACTATTTGATGTGTATTCTTGATATTTATAATGACAAGGAATTTGATTTAAATCATATCAAAGACGAAGTACATCGAGATGAAATACTACATTTAGTAAGGAATTATAAGCTGAATAAAATAAAAACATCTGCCCTAAAGGTAAGGATAGTGCTGCTAGACAACTTCCAGTTCATTGCGCGACGCGACGTTCTCCCTGCAGAGCAGCGTGAAATTGATAAACAGATTTTGGAGTGGTTAGAGAAACAAAGGATATGCCTTTATCCATTTTTTGCAGCAATTCCACTTTTTGTTTGATGGACATCGAAACATGCTTTCGCTTTGTAGATCCTTTGGCAGCTCCAGAATCGGAAATTCTTTTTGACGTAATCGAAAGTTCAAGCTTACTTTTATAAAATTGCTCTAACAGTCTGCAAAAAATAATAAGCCGGATCCAATTCGAAGATTAAGGAACAGTGCAATCTGCAACATTAACTGAAATAGATAAATTAGATAATTTTAGCTTAGCTTATACTGTCTGTTATGCATTAAACGTGCATGCGTAAACGTATTATGCGCATGTGTAAATGCATATGCGATGCGTTTACGCATGCACAGAAAGTTTTTAGCTTTGAGGTCCAGATTACAGATCATTCCGGATTATGGACGTCCGGATTAAAGCCCTTTGACTGTACCATTTCTACTTAGTCACATGGCCTTCATGTCATCCTGGTGAGTTCATTGAAAAATATGGGTTTGGTCATAATGTTTTGGCTTGTTAGTGTATAGTGTGTGAGCAAATGAGAAGAAAAATAAAAAAACCACATATACGCATGCAGGCATACACACACATATACGTGAAAAAAATAGGTATACAATACAGGTTGGAATTTCATTACCTTGCATCCATTATTTACATGAAACATTATTCCAATACATTTTGAAAATTAAACAATGAGTGTAATTTGTTAATTTCTGATTTATCTATGATTGATTTTTGTACCTATTTTGTTTTCCGTTAATATGACAAAAATATTTTATTTTTAAGCTTGCCTTTATCAGGGCCAAGAATGTGTGATCACTATACATTTTGAAAATGGTTTTATTTTACAAGACTCAAGGCATCATAATATCTTGTGGCAGTATCCTTTCGAAAAGCTTCGCATGTCAGCTGATGATGGCATGAGATTAGTGTGGTTGGATTTTGGTGGAGAAGATGGAGAAAAGGTAATTTTAAAAAATCTAGGTGAAAGAATTAAGTTTTATTCTTTACTTTTATTTGTGATGAAAAATTTATATATATATAATATATATATATCCTATCATGTTTCCTTTTCTAAAGGAAAAGAATTTTAATGTTACCTCTTAAAAAGGCCTTACAAAAAATAATGTGTTAATAAAGTTTAGATATTGGTTTATTTTCTCAAATTTTGTGGTACTTCCTTATTAAAGTGTTGTTGCACAGGATTTTTGCAACATTTAAAATTTTCATATTATAAATTTTTTAATTACTTCCTTGTATGAAGTAAAGGAAGTATTGTAATTCCAAACAATTTCGGGTATCATATTTCAATGAAAATATCCATTTCAACCCCTCTCGAAATGATTTTTGTGTGACATCTGTACGTACGGACAGAATAAAGGACTATTTTTGCCAAAAAGGGCTGTAAATTAGATTTAAAATGGATTCAGAAAAGATTTGTTCTTGACATCTGTACATACGTACATATGTACGTATCTTGTACAACTCGACTAGTAGTCATAGAACATTGAAATTTTGCGGGTACTGCTGTAACAAGTAGTTGTGGACCTCTCTTTTTCATTGTAATAGTCTGCATCAATCGTATATAATCACATTTAGAATTAAAGTATTATAACTTACATTTTGATAATTAAAATTGTAACCAATTTTTAATCTTATACTTTTTATGTGTGCTTAATTAATACAAATAGCCAATAGGTTATGCAAATGGCAAAATATATCTTTTTTAATATTTCTATTGAGAAATTGAAAAATAATCATTGTAAAATGTAATGGTGGTACTAAAGTTTTTCAGTTTTTGTTTAGATGGTACACATTAGTCAAAATGTTGAGAATTGCTGAACTTTATTCAGAGAAAAGTCTTCTATTCAACTACCACATCGCTAGAAATCTATTTTTCATTTGTTTTGGAAACTCATTTCCGGCTTTGCTGATATTTGAAATTTTCATCACTAAATAGGGCAGCATGCATGTATTAAAAATAAAATTATTCTTAAATAAGATTGATTTTATTTTATGGTTAACATTTTGAAATTAATACATAGCGAGAATACTTCTTCTCTTACTATATATGGAACTAGTTATGATTCGTATCAAGTACTTCAGAACTCCAAATCTCTGGAATTGTAAAGTACCGGACTACATCCCAGCTGGTGAGTTGGAAAATCCAGGTAGTTGTTTTAATCTTTTCAAGTAAGCTAAATGCAATTACTGTACTGCAAATGAAGAAATATTTTACGTATCAAGATTTGTATCACCAGAGACAGAAGTATTGAGAAAAAAGATTAAAATATTTTCAATTCGTATACAAAACAACTTTTCAATATAAAACATGGTTTATTTTTTATAAAAACAAAAAAGTTTTTTAAAGCTGGAGTCCAGATAATTGGAAGTTCTATTTTAATGGGTAATGATGATGATAATAGTAATAATAATAATGTGTTGAAAGGAATGCAGTTATTAGAAAGAAAGAAATTGCTCTTCATATGTATTTGAAACGTTGTAGAAATCTGGGATTTATGAATTCAATATTTATAATCAAAACTTAAAATTCTTAATTATCAAATGCAGTGATTTGGATCATGTGTTTTGACAGTGAACATTAATATTATTGGGTATGATTGTCCAATGAAAGCAAAGTGACACAAAGTAACTGGAAAAAATTAGTTTTATTGTTAACAGAAGTAGTCACAGACAAGTCACTTTGTGCCCCACAATGTCTTGAAAGCTATTTTGAGTATTTTAAAGTTTCGTAGGAGCCTGAGGCCGTTCATATTCACACATAAGTCTAGCTTAAAATGTAGAATTCTTGAAAATCAGTCACAGTGTTCTGAAAGGGGAGAAACTCTAAGGGAATGAAATTGTCTGCTCACGGAATACTGCGAGAAAAATTTACTGGAAAATATTAAGGATTATTTTCCATGCAGATCAAATGGGCACAAGTTTTGGTAATAATTAACGATACAATGCAATTATCTTTATTCTGCATTACACTGTTGCTCAAGAACTTGAACATTTTCAAAAATATTTTGTTGTACTTATTAATTTAAAAGGTATGCAATGAAAATAAAATTTGCTTAATCGAAAGAGCAAATACCATACCAAATGCACTCAAGTATATTGTAAATTTTACTATATAAATTGCTTTTCACTCAAAATTTTACTACATAAATTGCTTTTCACTCAAAATTTATAAAGAATCTTGTATTAGCGAAAATGCGCCTTTCAAAACGAGTTCTTTGGTACTCTACCTTGGTTATAAATCCCATCACTTCATGGAACTACAATTTTGCCCTAACTTAATTTGCCAGTTTGCCATCATCATTCTTACTTGAGTAAAAGATGAAACACCTTCGCATTTATTAATTATTGCTCATTGAACGGGAATTGGTTTGTTCCCCTTGAAAAGTCAACTAATTTCAGATAATAGCGATAATTACTTGTTTTTAATTTTTAATTTCTTTTTCAAAGTTTGAAATTTTGTTATTCATGATTTAAATTTCAAGTCCCCGTTAAAATGAGTTTTTTTCAAATTTACATTCAAGTTACCTTTAGAAACACAATTCTTCAGGAATTAAAACTTCCTACTTAAATGGGTTCCCTCATTTTTTTATACTTCTACTAAATTTATATTAGGAGATAATATAATCAATTTTTTTAGTAAATAAATTATATATATTAACTATATATAACTTGAAACTAGAGAAACAATCTTCCAGGAGGATTAGGGTATATGTGGATGACTTGGAATCACATAGCTGTTCAGGGTCAGAAATGCAATCTTGATGAGATAAGAGGTGACTGGTCGAAACTTTGAATTGTTGTGAAGTGGAAAGTGTACATGTATTGTAAATTACTACTAATTAAAGAGTTTTTCCACCCATTATTGGTTTTTCATGTTTATCCTCCATCTAATCAGAGGTAGTAGATAAAAATCGTGGTTGCAAACCGACAATTAAAGACCATAAAAATAAGTCCTGACTTTCCTGATGTTGAATGTCCCTGACATTTTATAATGTCATATAAGGTATAGAATCATGGACGTTTTGAAATGGTGTATCTTTCTAGCTACAGTGAATGTCTGGCGGATGCCCAGCGTATTTCAAAGCATCCAAGATTCCATGCTGTGCCTATGTTATGAAACTTCAGGCAACTTCATTATCAGGAAAGTCGACTTATTTTAAAATTAGGGTCTCTAAATGTCAATTTGCGATCATGATGTATTCATATTTTCCATCCTAACCCCCTCTGTGGGTGACTGTCGACAGTTTTCATGCAACAGCTTCTATGCAACTTCTAATATATACAAATAATATAAACAAATTCTGAGTTAAATATTTATATGAATAAAGGACTAATTCGATGTAAAAAAATATATAAATTATTTTGAAAGTCTATGAATTAAGAATATCACTAACAGTTTAGATGCAGACATATATAAATTTCTGAAATGTATAAAAACTCATTGAAGCTTTTTGTGATTTTTAGAATAATGATTAAATTATTTAAATTTATTAAAATTAACAGGATTAAATTTTCAATTTTATCAGGTTTTCTAAACAGGGAAAATATTCTTAAAAATGATTAAAGCAAAAAGTAACTAGGGTATAAAATTACAATGCTGTTGGGAAAAGTATTTTTTGCATACTCTGCCTTTTTCATGCAAAAAAAGATAACAATTGAAAAATGTCAGAAAATCATTATTCTAAATTCATAAATTTCTTCTGGTGTTGACTAATTTAAAATTTAGTTTTAAGTATATTAACAGTTCACATGTCAGTCAATCATTTGGCGATAAATTGGAAGGAATTTCATTACATATTATATTTGAGGATCCAAATCTTGCAGTAATCTCAAACTTCCTCCAGTTCTTCCAGAGAAAAAACAAATGCATGTTTCACTGGAAAATTAAACCTATCCTTGTAACTAATTACATTTGCTTGTTATATATAGGGTGTCTCGAAAGGTCGTTGCCAAACTTAACTTGCTGGTCTATCATGCCATTACAAACAAGATTTATATTGGAACTTGCATCTGAAAATGCAAGTGGCGACCACTAGAGGGCAATGTTCACAGGCTTGTAGAAGAGTGGGAAGTGTAACAATTTCAGGCAAGGACGTTGCATGAGAAGGATGAATTGGTTTACTAAATTTTGTATGATCAATTTGTGTGACATTTTGTGGAGAGAAGGTTGCCGTATTTCATGGTTGACGGGTCAAAACGTATTCATGAAATACATTTTGATGTATAGCTTCCAGCAGCTATACATCAAAACATATAGTTTCAGCATGATAGAGTGCCTGCACATTTTAGCAGTACTCTGTGAGAATACCTCGATAAGACATATTGTGATTGCTGGATTGGAAAAGAAGGACTTGTCCCATGGCCAGCATGATCAATCGACCTGATTCCCCTGGATTTCTACCCATGAGGATATGCAAAATCCATGATGTACGAGATGAGCGTAACATTGGACATGGATCTCGTTGCCAGGATCTTGGAAACAGTGGCACATGACACACCTGCCCATTTTGAACGGGTCAGTAAACCCATGCGTCGATGTTGTGAAGTATGCACAGTGGTGAATGGAAGAAATTTTTAATATCTAATATGATTATATTAATGTTCTTTAATAAAAGTCATGTTGACACCTCTTTTTGACGTCCTTTCTTTCTTCCCCTCAACACTTGTGAACACTACTCTCTAGTGGTTGTTGCTTGCATTTTTGGACACAAGTTCCTATGTAAATCATCTTTGTCATGTTATGATAGACCAGCATGTTAAGTTTGACAACGACCTTTTGAGACGCCTTGTAGTGTGTCCTCTACCAATATCATTAGCCATTCTTTTCTCTCAGGAAGGCACACTGTAGCTGATAATCAATACCATGGCTCATTTGAGTTAAAAGTTTGAAATTAGGTAGAACCCCTCTCGATATCAGAGCCACTCAACCTGTGGTCGTTGCAGAACCCCTAAAGTGGCCCTGTATCAAGTTATTAAATTGTCGTTGGCGAGATTGGCTAATAATACAGTCAATGATTCTTCTGACCACCATGTTCTGTGTTCTATCTGTACATCAACATATTTAACTGGATTGCTGGATTTACATCACTGCCACCATATACACATTTGTTCTTTGTTAGAGCTGAAGCAAAAGTAGGATTAAGGATTGAAGCTAACTTTCTTGGAATGGCCTTCAGCATTCCAATTTAATTGAGCATGACACATGTGCAAGTGCAGTAGTAAGCAGTAAACGGGCTGATGCACTTGCAACTTAAATTTCTGCAAGATGGTTATGGACTGATTGATGCACATATCCCTACTTTATAGCGAGTGAAATGGCAGTTGAAGTGGTAAAATTAGTCATCAAATTTAACAATCATAATGTTCTGCAATCACCTTTCATTGTTTAGACGCTCTAAGACAAATAATAGTACTTTCTTTTAATCACATCTAAAGAGACAATTGGACCATTGTCTCTCTCCAAATGTATATTTCTGTTTGATTAATCAGCCAGATGTAAGCTGATTATTTGAGCTTGGACTTCCAGTGTCTTACTTCTGAAAATGGGCTCTAAGCATTTTACATTATGTAATTGACTTTCACTAAGTTTAATTTGTAAATGTGATTTGTTAATAAATATGCAACAACCTACTCTGATCATTTCCACACTTTGCCATGATTCCTATTTGTACAGAGTTTCTTGTATTTCCAACAAATAGTTCTGTATGCTCCAATTTCAGTTTTAATTTTTGTAACCTAATCAGTAATCAAAATGAGAGTTCAAACTATTGTCGACAGTTACTTTGCTGTTCACAGAAATATTTTTTAAAAAGTTTCATTATTTATTGCGATATGCTTCATGCTTATTATGCAGTGTTCTAATATATTTTATATAATATTAAAATAAATTATGACTTTTTAGTATCATAATTTATTTTCTATTCATGTAAATATTACATATATTGTTTTATAACTTGTTTTTCAGGAATTAGATTTGTTACAGTCGCCAAAGCCTTTTATATTCACTTTGCATACTTTCCTTTCTGCTAAGGTGATAAGACTTGGACTTGTTGCATGACAATTACAGCAGTGGGAAGACGCAGATGAACAGTTTGATGACATCTTCGGTCCCTGAAACGAAGCTGGATGTTAAACTTGCTTCCTAAAATGGCTTCCCATCATTTGTTGTCCAAAACTATGTTTTGCTGTTAAAAAGCAAGAAACATGCATTGCACAATTTGTTCTTAGCTCGCAAGCTCTTCAAACAAGGAACAAAACAAATGCAGTTTTTTACTATTGTGAAGTGCCCTGCAAATATTGCAGATTGTTGACCAGAGTAGCTGACACAATTACTGTTTAGTACTATTTGTCAGCATTTTTGTTAAATCTGGAAGAAAAAAAAAAAAAAAACGTTTGTGTTTTGTGTCCCTTCTGTTGTACAAAGTTGACTATATTTTTCATTGGAACCGTAAGTATGGTTACCACATGGTTAAATTTGTTCATGTGACAGTGAATTTGCTGCCTTCGTAAGCAAGCATCATCTAGATTTCATAATTCTCTATCAGTTAAACAAAACAGATGTGTAATATTTTATTGTTAATATTGCATTTCAGCTGTGTGCAAAGAACCTGATTTATGAGGTAATGAATCAAATGCTTTTTGTTTGATGAAAAAAGAAACTGGTTCAAAATTTTAAGGTTTTAAATTGATCAGTAAAGGGGAAATTACTGAAATCATTTCAAGTTTATTTCATAGTTATCTTCTTGCTTTAAAAAATATTATTTTAGTTTTGATTTGGTTTTAATTTAAACATATGTGTCACTTTTTAAACAAAATTTTGAATAATGGTCCTAATTAATTGGCCATAAATATTATAAAAGTAAATTGAGGGGAAAGCGCAAAGTTTTCTTAAATTTATAGTTTTTGCCAATTGTATGTATGTAGCAATAATCCTGACTAATGCTGGGTGAATTTTTTGAATTACTATAAATTTATGTGGTGGCATTTATCTCTTTTTAAAATTATTATAAATTTTGATCTTTTTAATAATCGTACTTCATTTACTAACTTTAAACTTGTGCTTTATGTATACATTTACTTGTATAAGTAGTTAATAAATTGTCATTAATTTCTTTATTCTACTTTTAACTATCTAGACAGGCTGAAGTCCAGTATTGCTTGATTTTTATTAAGCTTATATTTGTTTTTATTTCCATGGGAATAGCTAAGTATTTCTCAAGATTTTTTTTTTTTTTTTTGAAAGTATGTATAATTTTCTTAAAACAAAACCACTTGCAGTGTAGTCATATACTGGTTATCAAAACAGTGAGTACAAAAAGTTACTAAAAAATTATATTTAAATTTCTAAAAAAATATCAGTAATTGTTATGTAATAATTAAAAGCATGTTTTATATTCATTTGTGAAAGTGTTATGAATATTAAGTAATACATAGTTTTAGTTATAATTAAGTTATCATTTCTGTTAAATCTGGAAGAAAAATGATCCAGTTTATCATACCTTATCAAGTTCGAAGGTTAGTTCTAGACATATACAAATAATGGTACTTTTAAAAAGTACTTTTTATTAAATTATTATATGAATTAGCAATAAAATAATTTTAATAGAATTGTAATAATAAATATAATTTTGAATGCATGCATTCATTATACTGCTATAAAAATTTTTCAAAAATTAAAAGTGCCTGAAACTGCTAAAAACAAGAACATATTGAAAGAAAGTATTGCCTATATCCATTTTAGTACAGTACAATAGAGCAAAAATTTCATAAAAATTGATGATCTTTAAATTTTTGTATTATTTTGTAGGTTTGCAAGTGAAATTGAATATGTGAAGCACGCATTTTTAATGTATATTGATTTTAGTTTCTACTGTTTATATTTTAATATTGGACACATAACATCAATATCAAAATATTTGTTTAGAACTTAAAGAAATACATAAACACATGTACAAATTTATTTCTCAACACATTCTACGCTTATTTAAATCAAGATGGGGGAAATAAAAGCTTTCTGATGCATTAAAGCTAACTTAATTTTAATAACTAAAAACAAGACCTGTTTCCGAGATTTATTTTTTTCTTTAGCCAAGTGGTTCAATCGCTGAATAGTCCGACTTTCCTTTTTGTAGTATTCAAGTAACCTTACTTTCTCTCAGCTTTTTGATGGGAATGAAAATGTAGGAGAGAAATTTAAGATCAATTATTCAAAACTGCATTAATACGTTCGCTGCCAATTATGAGTTATCTGGTAGGTTGAAGTTTGTGTTTAGGCGCCAACTACAAATGTTTTCATAGAAACTACGAATGAATTCATAGAACATTTTTGTTTTAACTATGCCGCATACGATGAAACTCGTAGTATTTTCATGTTCTTTAAAGGTCTGGCTTTAATCTGGCTTTGGGGATTAGGAAAAACAACAATTGGGTACAATTCAAGAGATTTATTATAATTAATACAAGTATAATATAAGTAATTATAATGGAAATAACATACGAACTGTAAAAAATAATTAAGCATTTTATAATAATCTTTGTTATAAGCAACTGCCAACTACGAGTATACTTGTAGTTGGCGTTGTCATAAAACATTTTATCACAAAACCCAACTATGATATATCTCATATAACTAATAACGCAATTAAAATTATCTAAATTCAATATTCCTGTAAATACATGGTTTGTACTGTTATTTTACAAAATTAAAATTTGTTGGCATGGTGGAACTATTTTTGAAAATGTCGCTCGGCAGCAAACGTGTTAACTCTAGAACACAAAATGGAATAAATTTAGTGTGTGAATTTTTGTTATCTATCTTAATTCTTGTTATCTTATTCTACCTGTTGCACATTAAAAACAATTGTAGTAATCTTTCTTTCTTTCTTTTTTTTTTTTTTTTAAATGTTTAGCAAAAAATGTTTTTGAAAGAAAAGTAAATTGTACTTGTAATAATAAATAATACTAAAAATAAAAGTTTTGCTTGATTAATTAATTGATTTGCTTGAACCAAAATTAAAATTTTTTGACTTTACAGAAAAATGATTATTAGAATTAATTTATTTAGTTCTACAATAAAACATTTCTTAAAATTTTATATAATTTGCTATATATAGTTCATTCACTCAGTTTATAAGAAGCTGCTATTTAATTTATCATCTGATATTCTAAATATATTGATGTTGTTTACTTTCTATCAATGCTGATATAGTTCTTATTACATTTATTATAGCTATAAGATAAAACTGCAGACTGTTTGCAGTATTTTTGTACTTAATAAGATTATGTGATTGTATAAAGTATGAGAAGTATTTTTACTTGTAATGAGCTTCATGAAGGAAATTGTTTCAATCAGTATCTCATTTAAAAACTAATGAATATTATTCATGCAGTTCTCAAGTTATTTTTTAATCATTACTCCATGTTTGTCCAACTTTCAGATGGATTTTAATATGTTTATGTTTATTATATACTTTTCCCTCTAATTTTACTAAGCAATGCATATTGCATTTTGGCAGATTTGATCAACTGATGTAAATCTAACAATTTAGCATGCAGCATACACTGCTTATAACATCACTCAAAATTTGTACGTTGTCAAGTCAGTTTTACAGTGTAAACTGATTTTACATAGTTATTCGTACTTATATTTTCAAATTTGCTTTATTATTACCCAGTGTTTCATTTTTATAAGTTTTACCAATTAATGCTTTTCAGTTCATTAAAATATTCAGTTGTTTATAAATTGTATTAAATTTTACTCAGCAGTTTTTACTAAAGGTTATCAGTTTTCATTAACAAATATATTTTGAATAAGTAAGACTTTCTGTTTAGTTGATTTCTGTTGCTATGTAAGTTCCATTACATTTTTTTTTTTTTTTTTTTTTTTTCATTCTTAGAAGTTGTTATTAACAGGATGAAATGTTTTCTAATTATGTAAGTAAGCAGACTTTTTGTATACTTAGAAGCAGTAGATAAATTTCCATTACACAGTCATCATAGTTCTTTAAATTGTTTTGCTACTTTCAAACAGTTGTGTTTTGTAGTTAATTATTCTTCTCAGTGCTTTTTTAAAATATGTAACAAAAATTAGAATTTACTCTTTCTGTGCCTTATATTAAATTATATGTGAGAAATATGTTAAAGAATTGTGGATAAAACATGCAGAATAGCTTTCAAATTCACTCTTTTAAATAATGATATTAATGTAGCAAATAACGTTGCAATTAATAGTGTAATAAAAAAAATGCTATTCGGAGTATTTTAACTGATTGAACAGTATATAACTGATTTTTTTCTTCTAATTTTGCAAGCAAGATTATTCATTATGGATAAAAATTACATTCCTTCTCCAGAAATATACCAAATTTGGCAAGAATAAATTTAAATACAAATGTGGGAAAGCTGATCGTTTTTAAATTTTTCCTGATATCAGTTTATTTTTTTAGAATTTTTTGTATGGTGTCTTTCGTGTTTCCATTACTGTTTAAAATTAATAAAATTATGTTGAATGGCATATGGGTATAAAGGAGAAACACCTTCCAAGGTTTTAGAAATTTTATCACCAATATTTTCTTAAAAAGCATTCTTCATAAAAATCTTTCAGGGTGCAGCACATTTTAATTTTCATAATGTAGTTTTTCAAAAAAAAAAATGCACTTCAAATAGTTTAATAAGTACTTTGTAAGATGTTTAGTTCATATAGTGTTACTAATAATAAACATGTCTGCTAAAATTATTGTAAACTTAACATTACCCAGCATTATTGATTGATATTTTCTTATTATTGAAAAAAAATTTATTTTGGAATGCATTTCTTTATTTTCAGAAAATTATAATCTTTAACATTATGCTGCACAAATTCTTCTGTAATATACCCAAGTACCTGAGGTTAAGTAATGCAAATTGGAATTTTGTTTCTTTGAATGTTTATTTTTTGATTAAATTTTATAAAATATAAATAAAATAAATTTTAATGGAAAATGTTAAAACTATGTAATGAAGCTTTATATCAAAAATATTCTGAATATTTTATTTGTAATTTTTATGAATATTAATTTATTATTAGTATAAAAAACTGTCTTTTTTTGTTGGCTGAAATTGAAATTACGTAGGTATGAGTTGTTTTGTATCAGCCATGTAAATTTTTGTTTGTAAAAATTTTCTTAAAAGCAGATTTTGTGTATATTTTATGATTAAAAGGGGGAAGTTATTAAATTATAAAAAATAAATGTCTTCTTTCACCAAATTTCATGTCGAAATATGCTGTTTTTAGTTTTAAAAAAAAATGTAGTGAAGTACACTTGTGTATGTGTATATAAATTATAACCATAATGCAATATATATATATATTGCATTATGGTTATATATATATATTGCATTATGGTTAAACTGAAATATAGTTATTCTTATAATTCCTCATAGAATAGTATGGCAAAATTTAGTTGTATGGTTTTTATCTATACAATAATTGCCTATGAATAAAATTAAATTTTCGTAGTTATATTGCAAAATCTTTGGTCAGATGCTGATATTAAGATATTGTATAAATTAAGTCTTATAAATAGCTTCTTAGAAATAAGAATATCTTACTTTTTAATTTTATTTCAAATTCTGCAGCTCAATGCGTAAAATTCTTGACCTCACAGGTCCTTTTAAGTTTAGTTAGTATGCCTTTCTTACATTAACAAATCTAAAGGTTTATATGCATAATACTTTAATAATTTTGTAATTATTTTCACATCTCAGTGTAAGTGTATGAGCACTATATTTTTTTAAATCATGGAAAGTGATGAATCATCACTCATTTTTAACTAATCACTAATTTATGCTGATTTTTAAAAGTTAAATTTTATTTAAAGAGAAAGTAATTTACCGCAAAAAAAAAAAAAAAAAAAAAAAATGTTTATTTCTAATGGTTAAAACCATCTAAAAGATAAATTAACTGATATTTCATGTTCCGGGAATTTGTAAAACCTTGATTCATTACTAAATATGAAACTTCATATACTCTGATTAGTAAGACTTTTAAATTTATAATTATACAGAGTTGAAAGCAATTATCATATTTCAGAAGCAATAAAATTCTATTTTTCAATGAAGTATTTTTAAATATATATTCTCAAATATACTTAGTAATACATTATGTTTCAATATTTAGTTTAATATAACAGCAGTCAAATCTGAAATAATAAAATTTTTATAGTTAAAATAAAAATCATGTATATTGTATAAATATTAAGTTAAATGTATATTTAACAAATCCTTTGGGATAAACTGCAAAATTTGCTAAAGTAATTTTAGTTCATTAAGAAACAATAAAATAAATATACAAATGTGCAATAAATAATAAGGTTTATATATTTTTCTTAATATGAAGATCTCAGTAAAGTAAATAAATGAAGGGTATGTAAAGTACAGTGATGAATTAAACTGTAAAAAAATATTTTATGTAATAAACTACTATTTGGAAAAATACGTGTTATTAAAATATTTGTTTCAAAGATTTCACTTAAATTTCTTGAAAAAATTAAAACTTTTGAAGAACATTAAATAATTTATACTCTATTTCAAATTTCATACAGAATTTTTTATTGATTCTAGGCCAAGAACAGCATCTGTGAAAATGACTTCCACTCTTTTGTTAACGTAGACCCCATTCTGGCTTTTTTAAATTAGCTTTGCTACTACATTATTTTAAGCAATTATTACTAAATTCACTTCTTTTGAAATTAGAAAAATTTGAAAATTCTGGAGTTTGTTAAAAAGCTTTGTTAAAAAGCATTCCACAGTTTAGTAAATATTTTGTATGGATATAAGTTTTCTGGAGAAAAAGGGGGGATATTAAATCATAGTTTGAGTGATTGAAATATTTGATTAATAATATAAGCATATTGCATTTTAATAACAATTATTCGTTAAAATATACAATGTAAAAAATTAAGCACCCTCTTACAGTTATAAAGTATCAGAAGAAACTTTCTTGCAGAATTTTAGAAAATACCATCGTAAAGTTGTCTTGCTTCTTGCAGTCTGATCAGATATCATATTCTGCATTGTTTCATATGTTGATCAATGCAGAATATAAATGTTCATATGTTGACCAATGCTGAAACAATATTGTTTCATGTTATGATAAAAACTGTATAAAAATCTCACTTCATATTAAAGTATATTTCAAACATAAAATATGAAATCCCATGTAGGAAAAAGTGAAATTTTACTACAATTTTACTAAACAAACTTTATAAACTGTTGACTTTAAATATTGTTAATGTTAATCAATTGTAGACAAACAGTTATTTTAAATGAAATGACACTGCTTAGAGATCTCACTCATAAAATGCATTTCACTTTAGGAAAATATATATATATATATGATAGATGTGTTTTCATTTGTGAAAAATGTAAGCAGAGAATCCCTCAAGTCCAAGAAGTATTGTAAAGCAATTTTTTTTTTTTTTTTTGGTTGTTGTTGTTATTTTAATTTTCTTTTAATGCATTTAAGTATGAAAGTTTTATAATAATTTTTGTTATTGTTAGTTCTTTAGAAAACCTTTTTTGGGGTGTGTGTCTCTCTGTGTGTATGTATGTGCGTGAGCTTATTATTCATGTTAAAATGCTTTGAAAAATTATTTTATTTAGTTGACCCTTTTTAATTTATATAAATATATATATATATATATATGTACTTTATAATATAGTATATATAAATATATAATTTATATAAATATATATATATATACTTTATAATATAGTATATATATACACATATATGATGTATATGAAACATATATTCACAAAGAAACGTTTGAATTTATCATATCAAAATAATCAAGGAAAACATTTTTTAATCATTTTTGGTAAGTAAATGTTGCATATTATATTCATATAATTTGTTTAATGTATATTGAAGTCTTTTACATAAAGACTAATTGCTTTTTTTCACAGTGTATTTATGAGTTCATTTAACTGTTCAGTTTAATTTATATAAAGTGTAGCAGAAGGCTTTCATGATTACAGAATCCTTAAATACTTTCTGTGTTAAAAATTCATTATTTATGATAAAAAAATACACTTGAAAAATTATATTGTAGTTTATTTTCATATTAATTTTATTACTGAAATAGTTATTTTTGTAACTGACTTCAGTATAGAGACTTGTTCCAGAAAATATCTCTCAGTTTAATAAACACATTAAGACAGTGATTCCCAACACATTTGTATTGCCACTCCCATGTTTTCTAGAACTCTCATTAAGGGGGAAGTAATCATCTAATAATCTTGGAGAGAATAAGTTTTGGAAAATCTTTTATTTAATTAATAACATGAAAGCCATTATTTTTAAAAAGACATTTCTGTAAAATAATATGCTGTCTGTTGAACATTAATGACATGGGTTAATTTGATCAAATAATATCACTTGTCTAATATCTGATTTAAAAATATGAAATAATAAACTTAACATCCTAAAGTAAGATTCATTTCACTTTGCATATCTAATAGACTGGTATAATAAAGATGCAAACCAGAATTGCGATGTAGCTAATTGGCATGGCTGAAATGATCATCCACATACAAATTATTTGTTTTCTGAGCACTCTGATATTAATATACCCACTTCTCCCTATATTCAAGAATGACCTGTGGCTGTTACACATTTATATGTTGCATATCCCTCTTAGATGTACTTTGTATGCAAAAAATTGTTATACTGATTTCACCAATAAATGTTTATTTTTATCTGAATATGCTGTTTAACATCTTTGATATAATCCTAAACTATTAATATGTTCACCTGTGGTTATCCTATAATAGTGTAAACATTAGGCATGTTTAATATTGTGTTAATTTGTGTTGTATAACATGTAAATTTTCTTAATTAGTCGTAATATTGTACATATCTCTTCTCCTTAAGCACCCATTGTCCTCTGGGGGTGGTACTGTATATTTTGGGAATCACTGTGCTTTCAGTTTAGATTGCATTATGTGGAATAACACAAGTCATACAAGGTTTGAGAATCACTAATTCAGGTGGTTAAAATGCAGAGCTCATCATTGTTTGTCATATGTTACGTCTTCCTTCAAATATTCACTTGAGGTCCGAAGTTTGAGAATACTGTTATACAAATTAAGTATGAGGAATCACAAGGGTCAACTGTATATATTTTATTTTGGAGAAATGATATATTGTAATTAATGCAAATTTATATATATATATATATATATATATATATATCCCTTTATGCATTTGTTTTGAGCATCAAAAATACCTTTAGAGAAATTGTAGGTAATGTCATCTAAAAAAAAACAAAACTTTCATGTTTGAAGACTAAAATTTTCTCATTTTTTGTAAATATTTGTGTAATTTTATATTAAAATATTTTATATGCTATGTACTTCTTTTTATATTTACATGTTATACTAGTCCAAAGAAAAGTTTTCAGTTTCAAAGAATGCTTTTATTTTAAAAATACGTGAGATTTTTTATAATGTTATTAATCATCCTTTTGTTTTCAATTTATGTGTTTAACATACTTTAGTCAGAAGCATAAATGAACCTGTCATATTTAAGAAAATAGGTAAATAAACACCTTAAATAATTTTAATCTGACTTTTGTCTTATTTGAATTCGCGAATATTATTATTATTTTTACTTTAAGATGACTATTATTAATTTCAGAACTATTGCATTGAAATTTGCTAGTTTTTGTAATATAATGTTAAAAAAAAGCATTAACTTGAGATGTGTACAAAAAGCAAAAGGATTAAATTATATAAAGAATAACACATTGCATTAAAATTTTTTCTGCTACTGTAAATATTAATAACTTCGGATTTGTACAATAAAATTACATTAAAAACTGCATATAAAAGGTTTGATGGCTACTGAATGTTTTTTGACAATATTTGGTCTGCAGCTATGCTAGCCCCTGTGGAACGGTGCTTGCTACACCAGGGTGCCTGGGCCAGAGGCCCTACCCCTTGTAGAATGAATTGGTAGCTCCGAAGGTTTTGTACAATAAAATTACATTAAAAACTGCATATAAAAGATTTAAATAGGTGTTATATGTTAGAAAATTTCAGATGAATGATGGCCGTTGAATGTTTTTTTTTTTTTACAACATTTGGTCTGCAGCTAGGCTATTCCCTGTGGAACGGTGCTTGCTACACCAACGTGCTTGGTCCAGAGGCCATACCCCTTGTAGAATGAATTGGTAGCTCCGAAGGTTGATTGATTAACTAAGCAATTCAGGTTATAATTTTTTAAATAATTAATTTTAATAGATAATGATAAGGCTTAGATTGGCTTGAATTAAATGAAAGTATGACTAACAAATGGCCAAAATACAAGTTGGGAATAAAGCTGTTACATACATAAGGCACAGAGACTGTCAAGCTGGTGAGAAAGGTGCATAAAACATATAGGTAAGTACAAATATTTGTAGCCTAAACCCAAAAAAATGAGTATAATAGGGATACACAATATAAAATGCATAATAGAGAGTACAGAATACCATTACATATATACACATACGAATACTAGCATATAATACAGATACGAATACAAACATATGGTACAAGAAACAGCAAAATGGTGGTGCTTAGCAACTGCAGTGAGGGAAAAGGGAGAGGTTACATGATCCAGGTGTTTAACTAGGCAAGGGGCATGTCCATATTATTCAGATCGTTATAGTCATAGTTGCAGATTTTTATGCAGGAGTTGTCTATGGTTTGTTGTCTGATGTGAAAATTTTTTGTTAGTTTATGGGTTCTGAATAATTCCATATCAAGTTTTAATGTTGCGTGGCCCCAACCTGCACGCAACAATAGTGGTGACTGCTATGAACTGGAAAGTACACAAAGTCTTGAGAAGGGTTTAAATCCCTTTTTATTCATCTTTAGAAATTACAGATGCGTGCTCTTGATGCTCACAAACTATGCCGACCCGGCGGTAAAATAAAAATACGAAACTAAAAATGAATAATAACAAGTGACTACCTACGAGGCTCTCTAAACGTAACTAACCTAACCGTGTTCTAAGATACCGCTGATAATTCAGCAAACTTCTGAATATTATGTTGAAAGATTTAACTATCTGCCGAGGCAAGCACACAAGCCGAAACGCGCGGTTCTTTAATTTCTACCTAGCCACCTCCACGCTCGTGAAGCAAGAAAGCACACTATCGAACTCGTTTCCCTTCTATTTAACTCAGAATACTTCCACTGACTATTTTGAATACTTTGCGCGTTCTACTAAAATTTACATACTCTGGCATTGGCAATTCCAGGGGAAAGTAAGGCTTGACAGGAAAGATAGTTTAAACTTAAAATAAATGTTAGTTAAAATAAATATAAACCCTACAAAGTTCTTCATGAATTCTGTTATTACGTATATACCATTTGGCATTGATAATCTGTCTAAGCACCTCATTTTGACAAACCTAGAGTTTCTGTCTGTTCGTCTTACGAGTGTGGGCCCAAACTGGACTGGCATAACAAAGTAATGGTCTGAGAAAGGACTTGTAAATAAGTAACTTATTGTCTATATATTCTGAGCAGTTAAGGAATTGAGTTGTACTTTACGAACTCGGAACTTCTGGATGATAGAAGGGATGTGTGGGCTAGGCTAGTTGCTTGGTCATTTTGTTCGCCTTATTTGATTCCAAACAACTACATTTTGTTAAGTCATATCAGGTAAATGGGGGTTGTGAACTTTTGCTTTGATTAGTAGATAATTATTTAATTGACTCGGCATTTGTTTAATATAAGCTTAGGATAAAGATCACCGAAACAATCCATAAAACCACTAAGCAGTAACTAAAAACTTTCAGCTAGGTGGGAAGTTGATTTGCTTGATGTGCTATGAGTGCTCAAATTCTTGTAAAATGTTGCAAATGTCAGTGAATTAGCGGCAACATTTAGTTATAAACTTTTACAAACCGTTTGTAGTATATTTGTATCATGTGTTGATATTTATGACACTACTCAACAAAATCAAGGGAACAGGTGATTTAGCAAGAACATGAAACTGCTGTTAAATATGCATACAATATAAAAGTATATTTTTGAATAGTGGAAAAAAATCATGTTTTGGTGTAAACAAAGATCATTTTACATGTTACGATAAAAAAATCATTATTACCTACATCTTTTAAAGAAGAAAACATAAGCATTGATGAATTTTTTCAACTGTAAATGTGTGTGGCCACTTCGAACTTGCTTAGCTGCTTTATATTGTTGCATGCGTACCAATTCGTAGCATATTGAATGCCCACAGGTCCGATGATAGTTTGATAAAATTTATTTTATCAAACTAATTTATAAAATTTATTTTATCAAAACAAACACTTCAGAGTTCTGGAACTTTCCACGGAAAGGTGTTCAGGTGGTTTCCAAGTGTTCACAGAGTACAATAAGTAGTTGCACTTCAAAATAATAAGGACATTAAACACAGGCAATGAAAAGCGCATCTAAAAGGCTAAGCGTTCAAATACTCTGACATCACTCGGAATTAAGAACACAAAACAACAACCGAGATGCTGTCTCCGGACTTACCCAGGTTCCGAGATATTTCTAGTACTACTAGAAGGCATACGAAAGCCGAATTAAGGTGAAGGGCCATTCACACTGGGGTTTATCTGCGCTAACGGAGTCGATTCTATATGAGATTCAGATTTTTCGACTCGTGTCGAAGAACTGGTTTTGGAGCAGCGTCAGCTGCATTAGATGTCTCCATTTGCTCAGCTAAAGCTCAGTGTGAATGCCCTTTGACAGTCATTAGTAGTGATCAATTATAATGCCTGTTACGGTGATACAGAGACCGGACCAAAACGATTGCCAAGGACGACAAAAATAAGTCACCAAAACCATTGCCAGCTTGGCGATCTCTTGCCAATTTAGCGAGATAGCCATTTACTCAATGTTAAACAGACTTTCCTCTGTATTCTTAGTTTTCCAGCAAGCTTCGCTCCTTCAGATTTTCACGTTACGTTATACAAAAGAAACATAATTTCACTAAAATTATCTATAGATATACAAAAATTCATAAGAATATCTGTAAGCAGGGTTCGTACACATTTTCTTACATGAAAATTAAGGACCATTAAAGAAAACATTAAGGACCTATCAGCAAACAAAAAAATGAATAGAATAAAGCAATTATCCATACAACCAACTTCATGTTTGTAATTTCACTTTAAGAAACTAACAGAAGTGTGTATTATGCACTATTATTAAATTCAATTTAATACTTACCATAAAACAATTTTGAAAATTAAACTAACTCCCTACAAGTTATGAAGTAAATAACATTAAATTAGGAACATAATTTCTTGAAAAACATGTATAAGTGTATTTTACACTAATAACAGTCACTATTTTAGAGATTTACATGATTATTATTTAACTTATTTGATATTTATTTAAACACAGTCAACTACTATTATAATCACAATGTAAGAATATTTTGCAGATTAAAAATAACTGAATTTGTAAACATACAATTTATTTCCTTTGGTTTTTGAAAGATACTAGAATAACTAACTGTACAATAAAAGAATACAATCCCATTCTATTGTCTGTGAACATTTGTGCTTTTTTTAAATCTGAATTCTTTTCAGCTATTTTAACATCTAATTTATTTATGTCTATTTCCTTTTCTTTAACTGTTCTTCTTAAGTTCATTTGCCTTTGATAACAAATCAATGTTCCTGCTGGTCTCAGCTTCATCTGCTAAAAGCATCTACTTCTTCATTAATATCTTTAATATCCCTTTGAAGAAAATTTTTTCTTCTGCTTCATATAATCAATTTCTTCCTCAATAAATATTTCTTTACCTTTTTGAATTTTCAGATTTAGTTTAAAGATTTTTGTTCTTCTAAATAACTGCAACTCCACTTTAGATCTTGCAGAAGCTGCCTGCTGATCTCATTTCTTTATTAATTTCGATATTAAGAACACCTCCAGAAAATTTTATGTAATCAAATACTTGTGCGTCAAGAAAATGTATGATGAGTCACTTAAATTTTCAATTTCAATTGCTTTATTTACAGAGAAGCCCCTTTCCACAGAGGCCTGTTCATGTGACAAGATAAGAATACTTGAATAGTGAAAATATACATTTTTTACTATATATATATATATATATATATAATTTATTTCCTATTGATTAATTGATTATATTATCTCCTAAGTTTAATTAAAGTAGAATTATTTTAAAAAGAGTGAATCCATACTGGTAAGTTATATTTTGAAAGATGTATATATATATATACATTACAAAGTCCGAGATCCGGACATTCAATATCTGGAATGATCTAAAATCCGGACCTCAAAGCCACCACCACCCAATTTTTTACGGCTTATTTGAAGGGAAGGGGTATGCTTTACGCACGCGCATTAGATTTTTTTCCTCATCATAAAAAAAACATGCCGGAAATCCCGATTCTTAATCTCAGTTTGGCGCTAAATAAAATATCTCATTATTGAAGAATTAATTTAGCGTAAATTTGTGTGATTAGTAACTTGACTCCATAGCTGCGTATCTGCTTGGCATAATCTCAAACCGAAACATTAGTTAATTTTACACCAACTAATATTTTATATC